ATGTTTCTGTCAGAAACATAACATCAACATTATATTCAGTAATGAAATCATTAATTAACAGAGCTTTAGCACAGAGTGATCTGGTATTTAAAAGAGCTACTTTAAGTGGCTTGGAGGCCAAAAAGTTTTCAGTCTGAGGTTTGAATTCGGACCGCTGTATTTCATATTTCTGGTTTTTGTAAATTTTCTTGTAGTGATCCGGACAGGTAATGTCCTGTTCTGCAGAACCCGGGGGCCAGATGCATTCTGGAGGAAGACGGGTGTAAAGATAATATCTGGTCCCCGGCCTCAGACCTCAGAAACGCAGAGTGATGGATCCTCTGGGAGGTCAGGGGCAGGTTGCTTAAATGTAGTGAGGTCTGCTACGTGAGTGCTAAGGAGAGACGTGCCGAGGCGAACCTGTTGATTCATTCCATCTGTAAATTTAAGAAACTCTGGTCCGGAAGACATTTCTTCATTGGTATCCATTGAATCCTGTGAATGTTTGGAGGAGCAGAGAGGGAGGGGGGAAGGAGCGAGGGAAGCAGTCGCTCCATCTCCAGTGGATTTATCAGCTTGTTTTGGAATATCGTGCTCCTGATCCGGGGAGCGTTCCATCCTAGGCAGACATCCTTGAGCCTGTTCTTCTGACGCGATGATCCTGTTGCTGTCCTTATTGATAAAATAAAAAAGGTTTGCAGTGAGTAGCTTTTTCCCATGTTTATTAAGATTGCGTCCTCCTCTTCCAAAAAGGTGAAAGTGCTGCCAATAGATCCAGAGGTTATCGATGAAGGTCACTGAGCTGGTAGAGCAGGTTTTAATCAGCCATTTGTATCATGAACATCATCTGATAAAGTGATTTATGCTGAGTAACAAAATGCATTAATAATGGATTTTGGCATTTAGATTCAGAAAGACAGAAAATCTGTAACTTTCTCTGCTACTGGTAAAAGTAAATCTGTTATTTTTGGTTGAATCAACAACAGAAAAATGTGTAAAAGAAACAATTTTAGTGCTGACATCATCTGATTTAAATTTATCAGACAAAACCAAAATATTAATTTCTTTTTAGAGTCAGTGGAACAAATCAACTTTTGTTTCGACCACCATGTCATAAAATTCACCAAAATTAATCAATGATCCAGCTGAATAAACTAAAACCAGGTCTTTCATTTTTACTTTCTGATGTCACTTCCTGTTTTTGTAGTGGCAGCGAATGCTGTGCATTGTATGGTTTAGTGGTTCAACTCCAGAGATCATAATATAAGTTTTTAACTTTCACAACTGAACATGAATTAATTAAACCCATTTTATCTTCTCTCCTCAGGCTGCTGATACATTATTGAATTCATTTTAAAATCCTTGTCTTGTTTTTAAATTGAGCTGCTCCACCTTTATGCTCCATCCTGTCCTCTGAGGTCAGGAGGTCAGATTCTCCTCATGCAGGGATCCACAGACCAAACCTTTTACATCTGATCTATAATCTATATTTACTTTTCCAGTCTGGTTTTCAAGTTTTCAACAATGAAATCATGAAAACTGTTATCAAGAATTTAAGATTTCTCATTTTTTGTCTCCTGTATGAAACATCCATCCATCCATCCATCCATCCATCCATCCATCCATCCTTCCATCCATCCATCCATCCATCCATCCATCCATCCATCCATCCATCCATCCATCCATCCATCCATCCATCCATCCATCCATCCATCCATCCATCCATCCATCCATCCATCCATCCATCCATTTTCTGCACTGATGGATGAGAGGAGGGATCATTATTATTAAATGAAATATTTAATCTTCTTTTTTATGCAGATAAAATAATGTAGAATCTCATATTAGAAAATTAAAGGCTCTTATCTAAAAACTTCAACAAGAATAGTAAACATTATATTTTTCTTGCCTCTTTCAAAGCTCTAAACTGCTGCTGCTCTTTGCTTTCGCCTGAACTGTCTAAGTCACAGTCGGCCATTTTACTGGAACTGCTGATGGGACATTTTACCTTTGACAGATAAAAGCTTTGTGTGTTCAGTGGGAGGATCAGGTTACAGCCAACGTGAACAGTCATGTCTCACTCTGGGGCAAAAATGTAACTGTCAGCATCACTGCTGATGGGGATGGTTTTGTTTCAGTTTGAAACAATAACATGATCACATGGTCAGTGTGAAAGAGTAACAAAACATTTCTCTGTTTAAAAAAATAGAGAATTATGAATGTGTTATTGATTGATGCAGCAGCCATGCTGGAGTTTTACAAGGACTTCCATAATTCTCTACAACAGGGGTCACCAATCTTTTTGAGACTGGGAGCTACTTCATGGGTACAGAGCAACAGGAAGGACTACTTGTTTGATACAGACTTTATATATATATATATTTATATATATATATATATATATATATATATATATATATATATTATATATATATATATATATATATATATATATATATATATATATATATATATATATATATATATATATATATATATATATATATATATAAAATTCCCTTCTCACCCACCGCGGGTGGTTCTTATCCTCTGAGCTCGGGTCCTCTATCAGAGGCCTGGGAGCTTGAGGGTCCTGCAGTATCTTGGCTGTGCCAAGGACTGCACATTTCTGGACTGAGATGTCTGATGTTGTTCCTGGGATCTGTTGTAGCCACTGCTCCAGTTTGGGGGTTACTGCCCCGAGGGCCCCGATGACCACAGGCAACACTGTGGTCTTCACCTTCCAGGCCCTCTCCAGTTCTTCCCTGAGGCCCTGGTATTTCTCCAGGTTCTCCTTTTTCCTGATGTTGCAATCACTTGGTATTGCTACATCTACCACAACGGCTTTCCTCTGTTGTTTATCCACTACGACAATGTCTGGTTGGTTCGCCCTTACCATTCTGTCTGTCTGGATCTGGAAGTCCCACAGGATCTTATCTCTGGTGTTCTCCACCACCTTTGGGGGTGTTTCCCTCTTTGATCTCGGGGTTTCCAGTCCATATTCTGCACAGATGTTTCTGTACACTATGCCTGCCACTTGGTTATGTCGCTCCATGTACGCTTTCCCTGCCAGTATCTTGCACCCTGCTGTGATGTGCTGGACTGTCTCAGGGGCCTCCTTGCACAACCTACACCTTGGGTCTTGTCTGGTGTGGTCCGCGGTGGGTGAGAAGGAAATTTTTTTTTTTTTTTTTTTTTTTTATGATACTACTGTCTGACCATATTAATGTCAGGACCACTCACAATAGTTATAATAATTTACCATGTGGTTAATTGATTTTATGTGATCAGACGTTTTTAGCTCACAGAGTTTTAAGTTTGATTCCCTTTTGGAGTTTTTCTGTGATTCTAAACTGGCCGCAAGTGACTGAAATAAACCAAAGCAAACTGATGGATTGTTGCAGTAACACCTGCAGCTGTAACAGCACTGAGTACTTTGAAATTTTCCTTTAAATCAAAAAGAAGAGTTATTTTTTTATTACCTAACCATCTGTCTAACCATCTGTTCTATTAACAAAATTGTGGAAAATAAAATATCTTTTGTGTCAAAGGATATTATACACACACAGCTGTGTCAGTATGAGGGTTGAGGTGGGGAACAACAACGCCCAAGTCTTATTGGTCAGTTTGCTTTTGTTTATTTCACGGCTTTGCGTTTTTCTGTAAGCTAAAAATGAATGAGTTGGGTTTGAACCTCCTGTTGTTCTACATTCAGCCTGAGCTTCTGACAGTCTGCGCGGTTTCTGGCGGGTCGCCGGTTTATTCGCTTTGTTTGTGGTTTCGCGAACCGAAGAGCTGACGGGTCACCCGCTGGCTGACACCAGCAGATGTGGAAAAATAAAGGTCCGACACAAAACTATCACTGCACCTGACCTGCAAGAGCACAAGCACCTCTCCAATGCGCAGAAATCAGCACAAGCCTAAACCAAGAGCAGCAGACTTTTTTTCCAGACGATGCTAAATAATAAAGACATGGAAGCGAAGCCTCCCCATCACAGAAAGAGGACGGTGTTGATTCCCAGGTTCAGGTGTTGCGCTACGAATAAGATGTTTTGGCACAATTTATTTATGTTTTCTTCACAATTTTGTTAAATAATAAAAAAATCCAGAAGTTATTCTTTTCTTTCTTACTTAAAGGAAAATGTCAAGGCACGCAGAGCGCAGCTGCAGGCGCAGCTGCAGGCGCTGCTGCGCTCCGATAGTTTCCTGCAGGCGCCTGCGCATTTCTGAATTTTAACAGCAGGAAAGAGTTTTATATGTAAAGCAATTTATTTTAATCATTTCCCTCTTTTGAACTCTAAATATAAACAAACGTCAATACTTCAATGTAAAAATATTTAATTAATTTATTTTGGTAGTGCTCCCTAATGATAATGGCTATTTTTAGAAGTGTCTCCGCGGGCGACTGAAAAGGTCCCTGTGGGCGACCGGGTTGGTGACCCCTGCTCTACAATATGTGTTCATTTTGGTTTTTCATTCAGTTTTGTTTCATCTTATTAAATATTCTCTTGAATTGGCTACAGCATTATTTTGTTTTCTATCATTATTAAAATTTTATGTTTTATTTCTATTTTTTGTATCAGTTCAATTTTACATGAATAATGGAAAAATTTTCATTTTATTTCAGTCTTTTGTGTTTCAATGCATAAAGTTTTTTTGCATTAATAATCCATCAGCTGTGCAAACCTGTTTGCACCTTTATTTCTCACATTATTAAATTGAAGGATTCTTGAGCTATTTTTGTTTTCTAACATCTGGGCTTTAATCATGTTCACCTTCAGTGTTTCATATTAAAGTCCAGGGAAAAATAAAAATGGAAAATGAGCTTTAGTGGCTACAATGTGTTTAGAATTGTGTAAAAATAATGAATTGCGGAAAAAAAACGACAAAGATAAAAACAGTAAGGAAGTGGATTTAATATAAAAAGCTGGAACCTATTTGTGAAGCACAAGACTTTTTTATTAACCAGTTAGACAAGAAGAAAGTAGCAGAGTAGTAGAGAGTCTGACAGGTCTGAACAAGACGAAGTCCACTCTGACTCCACCCTGTTAGGCTTTCAGTGAACAGCAAAGATCACAGTTGGAAACATCTTAACACTCCACAGGTTTTATCCACCAGGTTTCAGGTGAGTCTCTTCTAGTTTATTGTTGACCAGTTTTCATTCTGACTCTTTTAAGATGAATTCTGTTGAAATATTTAACAGCTCATATTTCCTCCAATAATTTCTGCTTCATTCTTTAGAAACACCTTGAAGTCTTTCAACTTTCTGTCTTCCTGAAAACTCAAGTATAAACAATGCTCAGAAAACCCTACACATAATACGGCAAGCTGTTTTAACATAAATTTGGTTTTGTAGCACTTACATCCCAGAAATCTCCAATTGTTTTATGACTAGACGTTTTAGTGATTTAAAATATCTCTAATTACATTCTGACTTATATGTAGTTTTAACTAGTGAAAACTATATAAATATATAGATATCTTTAAAGCAAATAATGATGAGACAAAACTAAATAAAAAATATCTTGAATTGTAATTTTGACTAGTCAAAATTTGTTTTAAGATATCTCTAAATGAATTAGAGATATATTGAATTACTCAACTTTTCTGTTTAAGATATTTTAAATTCTGACTATTCAGAATAACATTACTGATATCTTGAATAAGTATTTGTGGATAGTCAAAACATCCCTGACTTGCTTGGCAATTTGAAAGGAGGAACAAAAATGCTGTTTCCTCCATTTTGAAGCAACCAGGTGTTGACGCAGGAAAAGGATTAAAACTAACCGAGTAAGTTTATTATATTTTATGTTGGTTCATTGTCTAATTTAGACAGTAGAATAAAACATTTTACTGAAGTAGCGTAGATGTAAAACACAATAATTAAATCCTAAATTAATCTGCAGTATATCTCTATAATAACTTTTAAACTCTGTAAGTTGTTTTCGACCCGCTCTGCTAGATGAATGTTTTATGTTTCTACTGTCAATATTAAACGCTTTGGTTTAACACAGAACAAAGAAATAAATCAGTCATTTTGTGTTTATTATGAAAAACATTATGGCAGCTATTGCATTTATTGTCTTTACATTTAACAATAAGGTGAAAATGTAAAGATAAATATTTCTGCTTTCAACAGTTTTTAAACCAGGAAGGTTAAAAAGTTTCCTGCTATAGAAAAGCTGCTTTGATCAAAGAGTCTGCAAAATGTGTTTCATATTTAACAGTCTGAAAATGTTTCATTTGTTTATCCAGATGTAATTTATAACAAAACTATTTCTGAGAATATAAGCCGTTTTAACATAAATTCGGTTTTACTGCCCTTTCATTCCAGATATCTCAAATTGTTTTTTGACTAGACGTTTTAACAATTTAAGATATCTCTAATTACATTCTGACTAGTCAAAATGATGTCAGATTTACCATTGATTTGTATGGGGACTTCAATTCAAGATATCTACAATTACTTACTGATTATCTGAAATACACATTTCAGATATCTACAATTAAATTATGACTAGTCAAAAAGTTAATTCAAGATTTCTCGATTATAGTTTTGACTAGTCATAATTCTAATTAAAGATATCTCTAATTAGTCCATAATTCAAGATATCTTAAATGTATTTTTGGATAGTAGAAATGTAGTTTTGACTAGTGGAAATTAAATTATAGATATCTTAAAAGCAAATAATGACTAGACAAAACTAAATAAGAGATAGCTTGAATTATAATTTTGACTAGTCAAAATTTCTTTTAAGATATCTCTAAATGAATTAGAGATGTCTTTATGGCAAGCCGTTTCAACATAAATTCGGTTCCGTCTGACTATCCGTAATTACGTTCCAGATATCTGAAAATGCATTTAGACTAGACAAAACTACATATTGACTATCCGGAATGGTAATTTAAGAAATCTGCATTTACATTCTGACTAGTGAGAATAATAATTCAAGATATCTCAAATGACGTCACTGGATTTGTAATTTGACGAGACACATATCCGGAATTACGATTTAAGATATCTTGAACATAATTATCACTGGTCAAAATTACAATTTTAGATATCTGAATTAAGAATGACGTTGAAGCCCCTTTGTGCTGTCCAAACTGTTGCCTGTAGAATTTTATGTTTCCTGCACAAAATTGTCCGTAAATTCCACAAATTAGAAAGAGGTCGGCAATGTTGGACATGCGGAGAACGCAAAACTTCATAAACTATGAGACTGCTAATGATATCTGCAAAAAATGTCCTGTTTATTCATTTCCGACGAACTGAATGCACTTAAAAACAACTTTGAAAAGCTAAAACTGTCTTGTCAATCCATTTTCAACATGAAAGTGGTGCATTTTTAACATCTTTTTTCGTTTTTTCTATTTTTCATTGTTTTATTTAAACTTTCAAATTGCCAAGAAAATCAGTGACGCTTTGACTAGACAGAATGTTCATTTAAGATATCTTAAATAGAAAAGTTGAATAATTCAAGATATCTCTAATTCATTTAGAGATATCTTAAATAGAAAAGTTGAATAATTCAAGATATCTCTAAATGAATTAGAGATATCTTAAAACAAATTTTGACTAGTCAAAATTACAATTCAAGATATTTTTTATTTAGTTTTGTCTCATCATTATTTGCTTTAAAGATATCTATATATTTATATAGTTTTCACTAGTTAAAACTACATATTTCCCATCCTAAAATAAACGTAAGATATCTTGAACTATGCTGTCATTCGAGATATCTTAAGTTAGAATTATGATTAGTCAAAATTAAAATCGAGAAATCTTGAATTTACTTTTTGACTAATTTAATTATAGATATCTGACATGTGTATTTCAGATAGTCAGTAATTTATTGTAAGCATCTTGAATTCAAGTCCTCATCCAACTCAATGGTAAATTTGACGTCATTTTGACTAGTCAGAATGTAATTAGAGATATCTTAAATTGCTATAATTTTAAGATATCTTATAATTTACTATCAATTTTCTAATTGACTGTAAATTATAATTAATGTTGCAAGAAGAATTACAGAATACATCTCTGTGTGATGAATCTATATAAAATGTATCTGACAGTGAAATTGACAAGCAGTGCAATAATTGTATATTGTTTTTCATTGACTTAATATGCTTTTCATTATTTAGCAGTAAAAAAAAGTAAAACTCACTCACTGATGTTTCATGATTATAAGAAACTAATTTCATTCAGAAAATGTTTTATAATTAAAGATTCAGCAGCTGCAGAGAATGAAAACAATCCTGTTGACTGAGAGTTGCTGTATGAGTTTATAACCACAAGGTGGCAGTAATGATCTCTTTCTAAACAACCTTTATTAGACCTGAACCATAGACCCAGTTGTTCCTTGTACTGATGTTGTGCTGCCTCTCCTCCTCTTCCCTCTCAGGATCAGGATGAAGATGATGTCCAGCATCCTGCTGCTCCTCATCCTCAGCTCATGTCTCTGTGGTCAGTCTCCATCTTGTCTTTGTGACAGAAAGCTCTCTAGATGGAGCTGAAAGACTCCCATGTTCCAGTTCTCAGTGTGTCTGCTCCTCTCTTTCCCTCTCTGTCTCCTCAGCAGCAACATTTGTAGTGAATGTGACACAGAGCAGCTATCAGGCAGAGGAGAAGCAGAACATCACTCTGGAGTGGACCTTCACCACCAAGACTCAGGGAACCTGGAGGAATCTGTTCATCGTCTGCAGCTTGTTGGCTCCTGATAAAACCGAGTTCTCTATCAGGTCCATGAAGGAGTTGAGATTCCAGAGTCTCAGGATGATCAGTTTTCAGGACGAGTCAGAGCGACAAAGACGTCCTCAGAGAAGGACGAATCAGACTCCATGTGTCCAGACTGAGGACTGAAGACTCTGGTCTGTATCGATGTGACGTGAAAACTGAAGATGGATTCAACTCTGGAAGATGTCGACTCAGCGTTACTGGTGAGTTATTTGGGGTTTTATTTTACTTTCTTTAACTTTTTAGGTCTTTATTGAGCATAAATGAAACTATTATTAGTGAAATGTTTTAGCTTCTCTTTATTAAAGCTCATGTTTGATCACATCTCTAAGCTCTAGAGGTCAGAAGGTCGACCTCAGCATAGAGTTGTGAATTCAGCTGATCTAATAGATGAAAACTGATTCTATCATAATTCTGCTGAAGTCAAAAGTGCAAATCTTAATTTTATTTCATTATTAAAGTGAAACTGTGAAGGTAAAAGTTAAATTGGTACAAGGGATAAATTATCTACAGTTTCTGTGCCCTTATATCATCACTAGAAACATATTTAGTATCTTCAATACTTGGGCCAGTTCCAGTCTATGGGGCCACTGGCCCTTTAGATTCATCCTGAGTACGGCCATGTAAAGGACTGGACTGATGTAACAACACATTTCCACAGGCTGATGAAAGTAAAGGGTTCAGTGGATTTCTGCTGAGAGCAAAACATGCAGCACTTCTATGTTCATCTGTAAGCAAATAAAACTCAACCAACCAGAGTCAGGAGAAGGCTTTTAGTGCTGACAATCACCATCTTGTATGTGCTGCTCATACCTTTCCTTGCTCTTGTCTTCAGCTCCTCCTCCACAGTGAAGCTGCTGTGATTGAGCTTTGAGTGCATAAATGTTAGAAATGTAAATAAAGGACGACGACCAGAGCTTCTCAGGGCCATGATCACCACGGTCCGAGTCTCTCACAGGGAGGGGAACTCGCAGCAATGGCCCACTTTACTTTATGTGGCTTTATTCACACACAGAGGTGTGTTTTGTTCAGGGCTGGTCCGAGGTGATATGGGGGCCCTGAGCCCAATATGAATTATATGGTACAACACAGAAATCTTAACATTTCAAATTAAGATTTAAAGGAAATAGCAAGTTTACTTTGTAAAAGTGTGTGAAGTATTATTTATTGTTGTATTACTGCTACATTTGATGCTAAGAGTTTTATGCTACAATCTTTTTGTTTGGACTCTTTTGTGCATCTTGCAAATCTTTATTCAAGTAGAAGTAAAAAGTAACTGTCAAACAGCATCTCTATTCTGTAAATGTAAAGTTGTAAATATGATTTCTCTATTTAGAATAAACGTCTACATTCAACTCAATGGACTCTCTGGGCTGAACGATCTGCTTTTCAGGCATTTGCATAATCTCTTCATTTTCTTTTTTTATTTTATTATTTAGAGTTTTTTTTTCTTTAAAATGTATTTCATTTTTGTGAGGCTACATTATGAGCCTCACACCTTTTACAGTTAGGGCCAGAAATATTTGGACAGTACACAATATTTGTGAGTTGGGCTCTGCATGCCATCGCATTGGATTTGAAATGAAACCTCTACAACAGAATTCAAGTGCAGATTGTAACGTTTAATTTAAAGGGTTGAACAAAAATATCTGATAGAAAATGTAGGAATTGTACACATTTGTTTACAAACACTCCACATTTTAGGAGCTCAAAAGTAATTGGACATATAAACATAACCCAAACAAAAAAGTTTTTTCTCAATATTTTGTTGCGAATCCTTTGGAGGCAATCACTGCCTTAAGTCTGGAACCCATGGACATCACCAAACGCTGGTTTCCTCCTTCTTAATGCTTTGCCAGGCCTTTACAGCCGCAGCCTTCAGGTCTTGCTTGTTAGTGGGTCTTTCCGTCTGAAGTCTGGATTTGAGCAAGTGAAATGCATGCTCAATTGGGTTAAGATCTGGTGATTGACTTGGCCATTGCAGAATATTCCACCTTTTTGCTCTCATGAACTCCTGGGTAGCTTTGGCTGTATGCTTGGGGTCATTATCCATCTGTACTGTGAAGCGCCGTCCGATCAACTTTGCAGCATTTGGCTGAGTCTGGGCTGACAGTATATCCCGGTACACTTCAGAATTCATCCGGCTACTCTTGCTGTTATGTCATCAATAAACACAAGTGACCCAGTGCCATTGAAAGCCATGCATGCCCATGCCATCACGTTGCCTCCACCATGTTTTACAGAGGATGTGGTGTGCCTTGGATCATGTGCCGTTCCCTTTCTTCTCCAAACTTTTTTCTTCCCATCATTCTGGTACAGGTTGATCTTTGTCTCATCTGTCCATAGAATACTTTTCCAGAACTGGGCTGGCTTCTTGAAGTGTTTTTGGGCAAATTTAACTCTGGCCTGTCTATTTTTGGAATTGATGAATGGTTTGCATCTACATGTGAACCTTTGTATTTGCTTTCATGGAGTCTTCTCTTTACTGTTGACTTAGAGACAGATACACCTACTTCCATGAGAGTGTTCTGGACCTCAGTTGATGTTGTGAACGGGTTCTTCTTCACCAAAGAAAGTATGCGGCGATCATCCACCACCGTTGTCTTCCGTGGACGCCCAGGCCTTTTTGAGTTCCCAAGCTCACCAGTCAATTCCTTTTCCTCAGAATGTACCAGACTGTTGATTTTGCTACTCCAAGCATGTCTGCTATCTCTCTGATGGATTTTTTCCTTTTTTTCAGCCTCAGGATGTTCTGCTTCACCTCAATTGAGAGCTCCTTTGACCGCATGTTGTCTGGTCACAGCAACAGCTTCCAAATGCAAAACCACACACCTGGAAACAACCCCAGACCTTTTAACTACTTACTTGATTACAGGTTAACGAGGGAAAGGCCTTTTGAGTTACTTGCAGCCTTTGGAGTCCATTGTCCAATTACTTTTGGTCCCTTGAAAAAGAGGAGGCTCTGCATTACAGAGCTATGATTCCTAAACCCTTTCTCCGATTTGGATGTGGAAACTCTCATATTGCAGCTGGGAGTGTGCACTTTCAGCCCATATTATATATAAATTGTATTTCTGAACATATTTTTGTCAACAGCTAAAATAAAAAACCTGTGTCACTGTCCAAATATTTCTGGCCCTAACTGTAAATAAAACTTCTTATTATTATAAATACCTATACTGCTACAAACAAGGACTTGCCTTGGTTACCGGGTCACATGGTAGCAGATTTCCAGGATATTTATACTGATTTACAAATGTATTTGAAAATTGACAGGGCGAACAGCAGCTGCTCTCTATTTCCTGCAAATTGGGATTTATAAAGGAAAGATGCACGGCTTTATGCAACCAAAGATTTTGTGCGTCGCACTTTTCTAGATTTTAGTGCGGAAACTGTACGTTCTTTTATGCTTGAGGCCCCAGATCCATTATTCCAGTCCAGGTCAGAGTCCAGTGTCTCTCCTTGGTCTCTGCTGCTGCTGTAGAAGTGGACCGGTTTACTTTGACCTCTGACCTTTCTGCTCTGTTTTCTCTGTCCTGTAGTTCATAAAAACATCTTAGCTGTTCCTGGACAGAAAGTCTCTCTGCCATGCCGACTCCCCAACAACAAAACCTGCTGTGGTTGTGCAGTGGACCCGACCGGACCTGGATCCAGAATATGTCCTGCTGTTCAGAGATGAGCAGCTGGATCCAGAGAACCAGCATCCATCTTTAGGAACCGGGTGGATCTGCAGGACAGACGGATGGAGGACGGAGACGTGTCTTTGCTTCTGAGCAACGTGACGACCAACGACTCGGGACAAATGAGTGTCGAGTTTTTCAGAGAGAAGCAACCGGCAGTATGACACTCAGCGGAACTGTCTACCCTGGTTGTGGCGCCTCCTACAGGTGAGTTTTCCTGGTTTCTATATTCCAGTGAAAGAAGGAAGCTGCATAAAGTGTTTTAATGTTCAGATCAGTGAATCTTCTTACAGGTGAAAATGTCTTTAGAGTCTCTGTGTGGCTGCGGCTAATCTGAGGGGGAATATCCTTTAGGCCAGATGTGGTTCTGGTTCTGACCAGATGATTGTGTTTCCTAAAGCTGCTGCAGAAAGCAGATGGTCTGAGATCAGCAGATGAAGAGAAATGGATTCTGACCTTCAGCTCTGATTCTGTTTTTCAGAAAACAAGGAGGAAAGAAACGAAGATGGAAGCAAAAACAAACATATTGGACCGATGATTGGAGGCCTACTGATCGTTGCACTGATAATTGGTTTGGTTCTTGGCTTCTATTTAAGGAAGCAGAAGATGAACGGATCTTAAAGAAGAACCAAAACTCAGTGAGGGTTGTGGATCGTTCTGGTTCAGATCCCCAACCTTCATCCTCAGAGCCCAACATCCTCCATGATGTGAATGTGACTTTGCTCTAACACTTGATTGCAATGGTTGCATGAGCTCCTCTGCAGCCCATCAGGTTCTGCAGAGGATTTAATCACTGAATCATTCATGTGGCTACAGGGAAAGTCCTAAAGCCTGCAGGACTTGGGCTCTGAGGACCAGGGTTGGGATCACTGCTCCAGTTGACCCAACATTGGTTTCTTCAGCTGTTACAGTTTATATCTTGATGCTCTGAATGTGAATTTATAAACATGTAAATATGATCTAAGAGTAATACGTACCATATTATTTTATTTATTAAAAGTAGTTATATATTTATATAACTTTGATTATATTGTAATATAAGTATATTATTGTTTCCTTTCTTTAGTCGCAGTTTCACAAAGGTTGATGTTCACATGCATTTTAATGTTGTTCTTATTTTTATTCATATCTAACCTTAAATCACTCCCTCCTCCTCTTTCTGTGGATTATTATTGAATATTTTTGCATTATGTGAACATTATCTGCTGGGTTCATTTAATGTACATGATTTTGTAAAAAGTGTTTTTAATCTTACTCTATTAAATATTCTTATTGCTTTTTTCTGAAATGTGATTATTGGCTATAGAGTATTTTTATATCTTTTATTCCCAGATCTATGAACAGTACAATAGATACAGTAAAACATGGAGGAATATAGAATATGCAGGAATTTCAGACCTGAAATATAATTTATTCTTCCAAGAACTGCAGTAAATATGACCAGATTTGTTTGATTAAATGAGGTTCCATGCTCATTTTATTTAATTAACTCTTTTAAAAGAAGCTTTAAGTTTTGAATGTCGTCGTTAAAACGTTCTAATAAAATCTGCTGCTTGTTTTCTTTTAGTTTTTATTTTCTTAATGTCTTATGAAGTATAAATGTTGTACAGAAATGTTTAGATTAACAGCTATAAATAAATAAATATGTAATCTTTCATTGTTTGTTCTGAGTTTTTTTGACATTTTCCAAATTTTATTATGAAAATGAGAATCTACTTATAAAAATATCCATTTAGACTTTTAGGTCCTCACTTTGTTAGCAGTCGATCAAAACTCTAAAATTAATTCATCCAGTTCACAGTTTCATCTTTTCTCAGAGAGTTTTATGTTATTCTAGTTTTCAGAGATTTTTGATTTTTATTTTTAAAATCATGTAATCCCTGAGTTACTGCAGCAGATTTAAACCTTGGTTTGAATAAACAAAATCATTTCAAGAGCCATAAATTGAGCCTGAGCCTCAGTTTGGGCCACAATAATCTGCACATTAATACATATTAATATTGTTTAATCAGATATAAATGGTAGACCATGTCACAACCATAAACAGAATCAAATCTTTTCCAGTTCAGTTTAGTTGATCTGAAGTTTAATTTGCTCAAAGGAACAAAGTCAGTTTTAGTGACTGAAACTCTGCAGCTGAACCTGAAACCTGTGAAGAGACACAATCTGCCTGGAAACAAGGAAAACTGATATCAGAGGAGAATCATTGGCTGGAAATGAGTCTGGATGGAAAAGGCCTTTATGGTCAGTTTGGATCAAATGTCAGAGTTTCTCTGATTCATTCTCTGATTCTTTAGTTGTTCATTCTGAACATCTTTACTGAACGTCTCTGAGGATTCAGTCACATTTAATCACAGGCTGACCTGAACATCCAACACCGGATCAACTCTTTATTTCCTCATCCTGGATCCACATGTTCAACCTGGAGCTGCTGGATTGGAGGAGAAATCCTCAGAAGAAGAAGATGGAGGAACTGACAGTATCAATAGTTCACCAATATTGATTTCCTCATTTGATAGAACCACGTCAACTTTGGACAGTTTTACACTTTAGAGGAACCTGAAGTTAAAACTGGAGGGAAAATAGTTGAGAAATGATCAGTTTTCCTCCAGGACTCTGGGTCTGTTTTTCTCTTTGAGTCTCTTTTATAAAAACTTGATTTCATCAAACAGCTTCTATGAACACATGAAGAGTCACTGATTCATTAAAAGGGGCAAAATGTTTCTCTGACTCTTGTTTCTGACAGCAGGAAACAGACCAGGAAGTTCAGAGTTGAAGAAATGAATCATACGTTCAGGTAACCTCGGACGTTGAAATTATTAGAGACAAATTAAACTGATTATAACAAAAAAAAATGCAAGCAAAAATAAAAAGTTTTATTGTACATATCAGATGCATCTCATCAAGCATATTCTTAAAAACCGCAGTCTGTCCGAGGCGTCCTTAAATGCATCACTTGGTGCTGTCAGATCTCTGGACTGTAGTGATGGGCAGATGAGGCCTCATTGGGTGTGTGGCACATTTCCCAAACTGTGTTGAAAACTGTGTTGCTGACTCACTCAATGGCGACATCTGCTGGATTTAAAAAGTAATTCAGGAAACATCAATAAAGACTGGAAACAGACTGAACAAGGTTCATTCACACATTTTTATTTAGAAACATCAGCTGCGTTAACATCTTTGGGCCAATTGCCAAGAAAACAAAACAACAAAAAAAACTGACTTGTATGTTTTATTATTTTTTTAACTGTTTACAAATCAGCCGAGATGAATGCTGCAGTTTCTTCCTTCTGACGTATTTCTATCTTGAAAAATTGATAGTGCAATTAGATCATACATAAATTCATCAAATCAGACAATATTCCTTCATCGGAGAAGCGACACATTAATAGTTTCTGGTCCTTTTTATGAAACTTGAATATAATGCGATTATTCACTTTAAAGCATTTTCATTTTGCCCAAAAGCTTTAGGGAATTTTCTCTTGCTTTTGCTGGTCCATATTGGCTGTATGGATTTTCCTTCTTGACCTCAAACCGGTTTAATAAAGTAATATAGTTGCGTAAAGCGTAATATAGTAAGAGGTTCAAGAATGGACAATTTGAACCTTTTTGGTATTAAAAATGATTTTTTTAGGACGACATTTAGTGCAATTTTATACAACAACGTGATGTTGTATAATCACGTTGTTGTATACATTTAATCCACAATAGAAATAAAAGTTAATTCATGTAAACTAATTAAAGTATTCTTCAGAAAGAAATTGGAATAACCCGACAGAAGAATGATCAATAGTGGAAACGAGAACGGAATAATAATTGATCTTATTCTCCGTGATAAGATCGAAATGATCAAACGGAAGAAAAACTTCCTCTTCCTCGATTGATCATAGTTTTCATTGACAAGCCAAACAACACAAACTATCTCCATCCAACAAAACCCACCAACATGTCGATACATTTTCTGTTCATAAATACAATTTGGCGCGTTCACAGCCAAACGACACAGGAACTGTACCGGTCACGTGGTTTTCCTTAAAGAGATACGCGCACCGACACGGGGCTTCGGCTTGTTTGCTCGGCGCATGCGCCGAGGTTTCAGTATCATCAGACCCATCACTATTTACAGCAGAACCTTCAGAACCAGAACCAGTGGAGCAGATCCAGAGCTTCACTGGTTCATCATCTGCTGCAGCTTAAAGCATCTAAGATCAGGGTTCTGGTTCTAGGTTCTGGTTCTGGTTCCAGGTTCTGGTTGAGTTTGTTTCCAGCAGTCAGCGGGTCAGAACCAGAACCAGAACATCACTATGCTGCTGGTTCATGAACAGAAGGAAGAAAATCAGATAAAACCTGAAACACTGAACTGAACAATAAATTATGATCTTAGATTAAATTCTCTTTAAGGCTCATTTATGTTGAGTTTCAGTTTTAAAATCTTTCAGCTGCTCAAAATAATCAACCAAATTGTTTGATGCAACAAATTTATATTCCCCTAAATCTGATCAAACTGTTCTAATAATAAAGTGATTGAACTATCTCTTGTTTCATTGTCATTATTAAAATAAACATCTACTGGTAGAAAACATTTATCTAAAAAAATAAGAAAGAAGAAAATCAGAGCTGCTGCTGTCAGTCCCACACTGTTGATGATGATGATGATGATGTTCATCCATTCTTGTCTCTCTGGTTCTGGAGTCCAAGTTGGTCTCTGAGTTTGGATCTGATCAGCAGCTGCTGGGAGAGAAATCAGAAATATTTATTAATATTTGATGGAAACTGAGATCCAGGAGGATTCATGGAGAAGATGAAGATGTTGGTTCATCAATACAGAATCAGAATTTATTAAAGTTTCTAAAAATGTTTGTTTACATATTAATGATTTCTTCTCATCAGTAACGCTGAGTCGACATCTTCCATAGTTGAATCCATCTTCAGTTTTCACGTCACACAGATACAGACCAGAGTCTTCAGTCCTCAGTCTGGACACATGGAGTCTGATTCGTCCTTCTCTGAGGACGTCTTTGTCGCTCTGGACTCGTCCTGAAAACTGATCATCCTGAGACTCTGGAATCTCAACTCCTTCATGAATATGATAGAGAACTAAGACTCCATGATCCGTGTTCACTTCACAGTAGATGAACAGATTCCTCCATGTTCCCTGAGTCTTGGTGGTGAAGGTCCACTCCAGAGTGATGCTCTGCTTCTCCTCTGCCTGATAGCTGCTCTGTGTCACATTCACTACAAATGTTGCTGCTGAGGGAGAGGGAAAGAGAGGAGCAGACACACTGAGAACTGGAACATGGGAGTCTTTCAGCTCCATCTAGAGAGCTTTCTGTCACAAGACAAGATGGAGACTGACCACAGAGACATGAGCTGAGGATGAGGAGCAGCAGGATGCTGGACATCATCTTCATCCTGAGAGAGGATGAAGATGAGAGTTAATCACAATAAAAAGAAACACTGGATTCCTGCTACAGAATTAACTTATATAGAAACAGATCATTACTGCCACCTTGTGGTAATAAAACTATACAGCAGAAAGACAACAGGACATGTTTTCATTCTCTGCAGCTTCTGAATCTTTCATTATTAAAATTCTTATTTAGATCCATTAGATTCAAATAAAAATATTTAGATTATATTCTCTGAGCCTTCTTGTAATTTTGATGATTGTTATTTACAGACAAACTGTATAAAACCAATAAAACATAAATATCCTAAACAGAGATATCAGGTTTCTGAAAAGACTTTTCATTTCACTTTGGACTTTAATCAACTTGGTTTCTGGTTCTCTTCATTCTTCCTCTAAACTCCAGAACCTTCATGTCTGAATGAAATACAAACTTTACTTCTCTGGAAACAGGACTTTACGGTCCAGTTCTTCTCTTCAGGTAAGATGTTTGTATCTAGGATTGTCTCTGTGAATCCTGTGTGAAGGAGTGAACTGAGTCTGCTCTGAATCCAGCATCAGTTCACTCCTTCATCCTTGTGAAACGCATCAAAATGAGAGAGTGATTTTCTGACAATCCTCTCCAGGCTGCAGTTTAATCCCCGCTGAACATTTTCCACATGTGGTGGTGAGGAGAACAGGATGGAGACCAATCCTGTCTGAGTTTGAAACCTGAGACATGCTGGACAAAAGTGTCAAACCAGAGACACAAAACTTTCAGCCGCAAGAAATAAAAACAAGTTACAGAAGATTAAAAGTTATTATTACAGATATATGAACTGCAAAACCTGGTTTCAGGATTTAACTGTTGTGTTTTACATTTATTCACAGGAAACGTATTTCAGTAAAATGTTTTTCCAACTAACTCTAAATTATAGACAAACATGTAATAAACTTACTGTCAGTTTTCTTCTTTATCAGCCTCAACATTTTGCTGCTTCGTCAGCCTTTGTGTCCAGGTCTCTGCATGACGTTGATACTGTTAGACTAGACATGGACACACCAGATCTAGACTAACAGACTGACTAACTGTTTCCGTTATGCTGTTTCTTTTATTCTCTTCTAGTTTGAAGCGGTCGAGGGAACAAATCTCTATTGAAGTTAAGAGTTTCTCCTCCTCTTTGTCCTACTGCCAGACATTCATGACATTCTCCCTCCTCGTGTTGCAGGAGAACTGGACTCGTCCTGAAGGAGGGTATTTCCCTTCCTGCTCCGTTAGAATCTCAGGAATGAGTTGCAACAGCAAAGCAAAGCAAAGCATTCAGAGCTGAATGCTCCTGTTTGCTGTCAGTCATGAAAGTTGCCAACAAACTTCATTTGATTCCTCGACTCTCTGCAGCTGGAAGCACATAGAAATAATTAGTCTGTTATTTCAGATCTGAGCTTCAGAGATCAGCAGCAAAGCTTTGCATTTCTCTGAAATGATAAGATTTCAACGCTTTAGAATCATGAAGGTTCAGAGGCAGAAAAGTTTCTAGGCTTTTCTCCGAGCAGACCTTCACTCCGGCGGCGTGGGAGGAGTTAAACACGTGACTCCGCCCACAGTTCAAATACTACCAGCAGTTTTACTAAATATCAACCGGAAGGTCAAGTTCCTGAATTATTTCATTTGACACATTCAACAGTGATGATTCACTGAATGGTGATGAATGTATGTTGAGACATTAAATGTTTTCTCATCAGAAACTTTGTTTATATATTATTTTTATTCCACTTTAGAAATAAACGAGCAAAAAAAATTATAATTTAGTTAAAAAGTTCAACACTTAATTCAGAAAGTAAAACTATCATATATTATATCGACTCACATATTCCGATAATAAACTCTAGTGTCTCTGAAAAATGTTTAATGTTCTAGAATATACAGTAAAATATTGATTCCAAAGTTTTCTGGACTCATTGATCAGTTCTGATGTTTGGTCTTAAAGCTGTTTAATTGATGCTCTTTGTTGCTGAGCATAAAGTTTATTATCTGCTCCAGTTGGTATTTTCATATTGTTCTCATGTTATTAATAAATCCATATTCATGCAGACTTGCTGTCAGGAAGGTGATTCACTGTTGAGATGTTTGTTTCCAGAAACTGAGATCAGCTCTATCTGAGCTTTTCACTAAACGTTGCTTCTCCCTCTAGTGCTGAAAAGTCGCCAAGACAAACAATATAATAAATTGTCTCCAAATAATCAAGAAAAATAGAAAAATAAATCTTGGAACGATTGAAAACGTGAAATCTGAATTCACGTTTCTTTATGTGGCTTCAAAACAAAACAATCAATCAATGAATGAATGAATCAATCAATCAATCAATCAATGAATTCTTTATTGATCCTCATCATTTTCTTTATGATTTTACATCAGAAAAAGAAAAAAAAACATCTGGAAAACTTCCTGACTCACCTCGTTTAGTTTATAAAAGTTACCAAGAAAACGTCACATAAAGTCAATAATTTTACAGTAAATTCATAAATATTCATGAATAAATAGTCAAAGTGAACTACAAATCTACAGCAACAGGAAAAGTAAAACCAAAGCAGGGAAGTTTTAGCTTTAAACAACAACAACTTATTTACAGACTCATAATAAATGAGCAGAAACTTCAACAGCAGCTGTGAAGCACAGTGGTGGAGGAATCATGATGTGGGATTGTTTTGCTGTCAGAACTGGAGATCATGATCTCTTCTGTTACCAAAGTAGAATCTAAAGTGAGTTCAGGATCCATCAGCTGCTTCCTGAAGCTTCAGGATTCAATTAAACAACTGATTTAAAATTCATCATCAGCCGATTCTCTAGAAAAGTTCTGGATTTATGTTTGATCAGTAAAACTGTGATTGTTGCTGCTGCTGCTGCTGCTGCTGCTGTCAGTCCCAGTGAAACATAAAGACCGTCCCGTCCTCGACTTTCTGACGCTGAATCTTCTTTCTGATGATGGAAAATTCCAGAAGAAGCTGCAAAAAACCAGAAGATAAAAACTGATCAGAGAAACTGATGTTTGCTTTACTGTCTGTGGCTTTAAATTTTAGACAAAGCAACAAACAGACAAAATGCAGTGAAAACACAATAAACATCAAATAAACACTGTTGGTTATTAACATGTTATAATCCCAACTGGATTAACTGAGCTGCTTCACACATTATATTCTTGTTTGTGTATCAACTTTAGAAAATATGCTTTTATTTATTTCTATTATAATGTTTGAAATTCCACTCAGTCCTGATCAATACTGAAGAATCTTATTTTTCTGTTATATTTTAAGAATTTTAATATTTTACTTATTTTGATAAGCACCAGTATCTGTACTGTCACTTTATGAGAGCATCTTATGACATCAGTACTGAACTACCTTCAGTTGGCGCTAGGCTGCCTGAGAAGAGGTAGGAAATTTTCTTTGCTTTTGGTCGAGCTCATATTTTATGAAATATTTGAAATAATTGTATGTACATGCAGATGTGAATGTCTATTTGTTTTAATACAAACAGAGGAGCATTCTTTCTGACGAGTTAAGAACAGTTTACTTAAATGTTAGGGCAGATATTGTTATTAGTTGGTCACAGGGTTTCTCCATCTGCTTATCTGCTAGGGGAATTCTGAATCCTGTGAATGGAAGAAGCTGCATATTAAAGGGCATTTTTTATTTCTTTTTGTGCAGGCCTCTGCCAGCAACCTGCATTAAAAAACCCAGCAACTCCTGTGATCTGACTCCTTTCTTCAATTGAACACAACGCAGAACATATTTGGAGTGAAAATCTTCTGACTGAAATTTGAAGCAAACAGTTAAAATATTAACAGAAATTAAAGGAGAAAATAATTCTGAGCAAAACGACACAAGAACAACAAATTCTTAACTGATTAACAGAAAAACCTGAAACTTTTTTTGAACCTGAAACTCACCAGTAACGCTGAGTCGACATCTTCCATAGTTGAATCCATCTCCAGTTTTCACGTCACACAGACAGACCAGAGTCTTCAGTCCTCAGTCTGGACACATGGAGTCTGATTCGTCCTTCTCTGAGGACGTCTTTGTCGCTCTGGACTCGTCCTGAAAACTGATCATCCTGAGACTCTGGAATCTCAACTCCTTCACGGACCTCATAGAGAACTAAGACTCCATGATCTGTGATCACTTCACAGTAGATGAACAGATTCTTCCAGGTTCCCTGAGTCTTGGTGGTGAAGGTCCACTCCAGAGTGATGTTCTGCTTCTCCTCTGCCTGATAGCTGCTCTGTGTCACATTCACTACAAATGTTGCTGCTGAGGAGACAGAGAGGGAAAGAGAGGAGCAGACACACTGAGAACTGGAACATGGGAGTCTTTCAGCTCCATCTAGAGAGCTTTCTGTCACAAAGACAAGATGGAGACTGACCACAGAGACATGAGCTGAGGATGAGGAGCAGCAGGATGCTGGACATCATCTTCATCCTGAGAGAGGAAGAGGAGGAGAGGCAGCACAACATCAGTACAAGGAACAACTGGACTCATAGCAAGTCAGTCTGACCTTTGACCTCAGTTTCTTCAGATGGAAATTTCCAAACTGCAAGTTTGAATCTGAAACAATTAAATGTTCAGAGATCAGCAACAAGATATTTTTAAACCAATCAGCAGTCAGAAAGCTGCAAATGACCCTTCAATAAAAAAATGCTTTTCAAATGATCTAAATTATAGGTTATAAAAATTTCTCTATTTTCACAGTAAAATAATCAGTTTAATTTCTATTCTCAGGTTTTAGAACCACAAGAAAAACATCAAACTTACAGAAAGTTTCATTTCTATTAAACTCTAATGAAGGGAAAAAGCACAAGGTTTGAGGCCTGATCACAAAAAACAATCTGATCAATAATTATGTTGTGCAAATTCTGCAGATTTTTATTGAGAGCACACAGAAAAAGTAAACCTATAAATATGAATATATATTTAAAACACCATTAATTTAACTGATTAGGATCCAACAGGAGAACAGAATGAGAACCAGGTCTGTTTATTTCTTCCATTCACAAACCTCTTCATACATATACTGTATACATATATATTTCTTCAAGGTTTCTGTGGCTCTAGTTGCTCTTATTACAAGTAGTCTGACAGGAAACAGGGGAAGATATGCAGCAAATGTCGCTGGGGCCGGGAATCAAACCCGCGACTAAATCCTCTTACATGGGTTGTGCTGAACCCCTTCGCCACCACTGCACAGCCGACTCTTAATATTTTTATTTAAATGATGTGGAACTGGAATGAAAACTTGAACACAATCATCAGTGGGTTAAAAATGTGGAAATATGTCAATAAAAATGAGCAGGATTATTGTTGCTCAGAAATATGTTGTTTTAAAAACAGAGCAAGCAGAGAAACAGCAGATTTCTGAAGATGGATGATGCTGAAAGGAACCATCATAACTCCATCCATTGTTTTCATAACTTGTTGGGTTTATGGAGTTATTTATTGCCACTCTGAACTAATAACATGATCAAATTAAAGAAACACTCACTGTATTTCACACTAGAACAGATAATCTGCAACACATGTTCAGGTTATGATGTGTTAGGCTTGTGGTTTGCTCTAGTTGGAAACAAGGTTTCTAACTAGAGCAAACCTCACGTTTGCGCCGGTCATGACCTCATCATGTGTTGCTGGGAACACATCATGTTTACTCTTCAATGGGTTTATTTCTTTATTTTTTGTTCATAAATGTAAGCAGCATATTTGTGTAATTCATCAACTGAATGATGACCAGTAAAACGGAAGTAAACCGTTATAAAGCTGAAGCTACGAGTCTGATAAAGTAAAAATAACAATAATGACAAATAAAGCACCAACATGCAACCTTGTAGCCTAATGCACGAGTTATGAATGTTTAAGATCAAGGATGAGAAGATGATCTGCCACAAAGGTCACAGGTCAAGCCACTCACCTGGTGATGTGGATCTCCTGGTTTAGCAGACGGCTGGAACAACAGCAGACTCATAATAATGTTGCAGTTGTTTATATGTTTATGGTTGCAGGCGGGTCTGATCACACTGCGCTGTCAGAAAGAAGAACCAAACATCAAGGTAGAGTCTGAAAGCAACTCAGGGGTCTGGGGACTTTTTGTGGTTTGATGATGAAATGAGAGGCTTGGTGTTTAAATTGAATTAAAAATAGTTTCAGTTAAACTTAATTTAATTAACTG